ACTCCACGAAACAACTTTTTAGATTTAATAAGAACTAGTTGACCCGTTGCGCCAAATGGCGCAGAGACCCGCTAAAGACATGTTGTCGATGAAAATAGTTTGATTTTTGCAAGGGCATATGACACAGAGACCCGCTGAATCCATGTGTGCGTTAAAAAATCCATGTGTTTAGTTGGTTTAGTAACAAAATTTACACCCTTAAAAATAGAACGGAGACTATTGTGTATAATGAGATGCACGCACACATTTTAATTTATCTCTGAAATGGCGCAGAGTTTGATTTGATACCATTGGCGCGTCACAAATATTTGCTTTTTTCAATAAGTTTATATTTGAGAAAGCACAAAGACCATGTCAAACCCAAAGTGTTTTGAAAATATTTGACTTTGCTAGTAGAAGTAGGTTTTAGTAACCAGTTAGGGTTGCATGCGTATTTTGTTATCTTATTCATGTAACATAGAGCCAAATGGCACAAGGTATATCACATACAACTCTACCACGAAGATGTAACGCGACATCTTCCTTGACTTAATTATGTTCAAACACATTTGGAGATCAAATCCATAATTGGTGTCACCTCCCTGAATTAAAACCCAAAACACCTACCTTGTGCAACATGGCGTTTTAGAGTGGGAAAATTGTTAGCACAAACAAAGTTCCGATGTTAAACGTTACATAAGACTTTAGCTTGAGCAACTGTCCTGCTATAGGTATAAAAATTTCCTACTATTAATCATAGCAGCAAACAAGAACCTTCCTAAAGGGCAAACTCTCATCTGTTTCAAAATTCAACTTGGTGCACACGGGCACTGAAACATTTTATCAATGCACAATAAAATAAAGAACAAACACAATGGTCTAGTTGGGAATCCAAATGATTGACTTTAACACATCAGCGTACACTCAAATTATAGAAAATTTGTTCTTTCCGAAAATGGAAACTAACATCAACAGGTCACATGCTCCATCCGCCATTTGGACTGCTCTTCTCCCCATGCCTCCCCTTCAATCACTCACCATATTAGTAACACCTGAATACAAAAAACCACTTTTGAATTATACTGGTATGCAAAACATTGTATACTCTGAAGCATAGCATTGCCACTAAGTAAGATGGGCACTCTCATATATTTAAAACCAGAAAATATTATAAACTATGTATTCAAGAGATATGGTCTAGAATGGTCTACTATAAACCCATATACTTTCTATCAAAAGTTTAGTTTTTGTGAACTATACTGTCTATAAAAGATAGGTCAAATGGTTAAAAACTGACATGTAAACAACAAACACAAACTATATAGCCAGTCGCCAGTCAACAAAGCCCTTTTTTTGCAAGGCCGACATCACGGCAGCCATCACTCATGGCCTGCCTTCGAGGCACGACACGAAGGTTACCAAAGGTCAGTGCTACTGCAGGTGTTTCTATTCACATCATCAACAGTTTATTTTCTTATGAAAAGAGAAGTTCTAGGAAGTGTCGGCATTTCAGAACGGTTATCCATTTTCTTTCTAATGCAAGAATGTGCATTAACTATGGGTCACACACTGAACAAAGATTAATGCATTCAACAATTTTGCACTTGTATTAGCTTATTTTCGTACAGATATATGAACCCTCCAATTAGTCAATTAAATTTGATTGTACATAAACTTTCAGCTACTGAACTAAAACGGAAACAGGAGAAAGCACACACGCGCGCGCGCGCGCGCGCTCGCACGCATGCATGCACACACGCTCGCATATTTTACATTTCCTCCAAGATCTGACTGAATATTAAATATCACCGACCGCTAAGAAAACAAAAGAAGTCACAATAGGACTATATAAAGCATTATGTAGAACATTTGGGCCGTACACAGAGCAGGGAGCCTAATGCTTTAACTTTGATGGAGTTATCAATTTAAGCTTTAAACACTATTGTGAAGGAGCTTTACCTAGGTTGTAGCACCAGAGCACATGAATCCAAAAAAAACTAACCCTTAGAAATAAGTCCCAAGAGCCTAGTATTTAGAAACCTATAAGTCTGGGTAAACATAAGACCATTCATACACTTGATCTGCTAATAACTAAGCAACACATAGTAGTTATCTTCGTGCTAGTAAAGAGAGCCAACCAAACAACCAATATGCCTATGCTTCAGGGAAGAAAAAATTGCCTGAAGGAATAACCTTGGCTGATAATTTATAAATACACCACGAAAATCATCTCCAAGTTTAACAGGTACATGCTACTTTAAATCAAAAGAACACAAAAGGATCATGTGTAACATGGTTCTTACCTTCTGCCGTTTTGGAAATTATTGTACGCTGAAATCTACAGCTTCTACTGGACAATGAACATGTGTTAAGAAGACAAGTATAGTTTAGAAAGGTGTGCATAACAAAATATAGAGCGCGTGTCCCCTCCTCCCATCCTCTTCTACCCTGCAACGACAGAGAGTAAAAATTCCTCAGTTCTTCAGCTATCTATGAATCAAGCTTTTGGTCCTAGGATGCACAACCAATAAAAAGCATTATAATTTTGTAAGGTACGAACAGCTGTACCTTGAAGCACAATCAACATGCAGGAATCATCATCTTCATAAAGTAATAAGTAATCTTGGTCATCCATGCACCGACTGTATCTTGCTTGCTAATTTCCACCTGTGTCACAAATAAGGCAATGTCATGTTCAGACTGAAGGTGAAAGAAGCACACATTCAGTTTCTAATTTAATTTAGTACTAATAAAATCTCTATGAAGAAGCAGACCAACTGCTGGAAATAAACTGGCATGGAACTAAATCAGTGTCCACAAAACCATATAGATATGCATGCTCATCAAGCATGTCATACATTTTACCAGAATGGAAGCTTAGCTAGTGCTAGTGCCCTAACTCAAGAACCTCCAGCCCACATAATAGAAATTCGTCCATCTTAGCCATGAATTCACTTAATCAGGAGACAAAATAAATGCTTTCCTCAGACACTGTACACTGAAGAAACAAAAGTATGCAGGCTGAACCGATAAGCTCTTATGACTGAACAAATCCCATCTGCAAACATCATCATTCTAGGCAAGAAAATAACTGAATAAAGCCCATCTACAGTTATAATATCAGTCCCCAGTTTGGCACTTAACTCTTAAGGCTTTAGGTCTCTAGACACATCGATATGATGTATCCATATATATAATCGTAGCAATACACTGTTGGAAGATTAAAAGATAGTTCCGACGTATTTTCCAGAATTTTCTCTAGGATGAACACAGGAGCTTGAAAGGAGGGCTAATACTGGGTTTACGAAGCAACATACCTGTGCACCATCAACAATGGCATAATTCGGACTTGCAGATGATCATTGGGACATGAAAAACAGATAAAAATGCATTGAAAGCTTTGGACCTGAAATATAGAAGATTACCCCCTTGGTATACCCATGAGAAATACACGTAAGCGTCAACCAAATGCAATCACAGTCAAGTATGATTTCTTTAATCTATTTAGTGTGCTTTTCATGTACTGTGCAAGTAGCAAGGGGCTGTTCTTCAATAAACAACATCTTATTAGCTTCAGATGACTTCCATTGACACTATACTGCTAATTTAAGTTAATTAAGTTGTGATCCTAATATTCAGGTAAAAAATCACATGGAAAGTCAAACTGAATCGGGATTATGGATCAACATATTATGATATACCAAGGTTACCATGACAATGCAGATATTATGGAGGCTAATTTAAGAATGTAAACTATATATATATATATATATATATATATATATATATATATATATATATATATATAAACATTTAATGACATCAAACAATTACGGGTTGCAGTTTTAAACAAAAAGACATGATTGATCATTGCATATAACTACGATTATAAAGGTACACTATGTTTTCTAATAAATGAAAAGACAACTACTCTTACTGTCTATAATTATAATTCAATTATGTGTCGATAAGAAAGCAGCAATCATTGCGGATACCTTTATAAGCTTCCAGTGATCCTGTGAGCATATGCTAATACTCCTTAACATAAATCTCACTTGTCATCACCATCGTCTCTGTCTTGCTGGAATCGCATCCTCTATCTGCAAACTGAAACAATAGCAACATCAAATCCCTCCTGAAGATTTCACCCTGGACCTTCCCGCTGCTGATCTGCATAGGCATGTCATTCCGTTAACCAAGCAAACTCAACAATCCACACCATGCATGTGAACTTCTTCAGGAATGGACTATGATGCCGGGGCTGACCTCTCATAAGGTATGTAGAGCTGAACATTGTACCAGTTACATTTTTTAAGGAAATAAGCTTGTTGGGAGTTAGAACTCCTTTGCAATTTGCAAGAGGTGTCCGTAGTATACAAGATTTTCAAGCTAACTAAGTGGAAATACAAAGGATCTGAAAGAGCTGTAATGCTTTGATATATGAAATCAATGTCATCTACAGCAGTACAACACTAGTGACATCTTTTGAGCAATATATCCACCCGCCGGCAATCTATATCTGCAGTTGAACATTTTTACTTAAATGCAAACGAAAACAAAGAAAGGTATCCAAGTAGAACAATTATCTTTCTACAACCATCCTTTCTATCTTCCAACAGAATGAGAAAACATTTTGAATTAAACTAACAATGATCTTGAAGCAAAATGCATGAAGTTGGTGTCAACCTGATGCATGTTATAGATACTGGATCCTCTCTTGTTTGGTATTCCCTCACAGCCTTACTGAACTTTCATCAAACACCTTGCAGGCATAGATAAAAAAGAATTTGCACATGTAAATAAATGAGCTGAAGAGAAAGGGCAGGAGGCAAGGGGGAAAGCTAGGTGTGGCATCTTCTGCTTTTCCATGGCTGCCTGCACCTTGGGGTCGGTAGCTGCCCTCTGACAGAGAGAGGGAGAGATGTAGAGGGATAGAGAGAGGGACTCACCAACGCGCGGAGCTTGGCAGCCAAAGCGGAAGGGAAGCCGACTCCAATGACCTCCTCCACCTTCTATGATAGTCACCACCACTCCCTCCCGCGCGAGATGCAGGAGAGTGCACACCAAGAGAAAAAAGAACAACACTGAAACGGAAAGGGATCGTGAGACAGGATGGAGACCTGGAGTGTACGTTCCTGTGCAGCACCGCCACTAGCCGTGGTGGCTTCCCTCGCCACCTGCTCATCCAGAGAGAGATGGAGCTGGGTCGGGCTGCTCCTTCCCCTTGTCCCGGCTGCTGCACTGCTAGGTGCGGAGAGAGAGAGAGGAGGAGGAGCAACAAGGACGCAGAGAGGAGGCAAAGACGGGCGGCGGACCTCCTTCATCTTCGGCACAGATGCACCCCACCATCACTGGAGCTGCTCTTCTCCGGAACGGATCCATCATCTATGTGCACCTATGGTGGTGGGGGGGGATGGGTAGGAGGCCATGGAGAGGCTCCTGGTGCAGAGGCCATGGCGGAGAGCGAGGAGGAGGGAGGGGCTGTGGGGATCGAGGGGAAAGGGGCTAGGGTTGTGTGGCGGCTGGTGTGGATAGGGACGACCAGGGTAGAGGATGGGATTGGGTGCGGTGTGAGCATGCGGAGCGGATTGGACAAAGTGTTTTGCACGCAAAAACAAGCAACCCAACCAATGAGTGCATGGCGCGAGCCCACCCGTCATTGGCCAGCAAAAATAACTGCGAGGTGAAAATGGGTTTTACAGCTGTGAAGATCCAACGGTTCAAACTCGTCCGAAGGCAGATCCGACGGCCAACGAAGGCCCAATCGGGGGAGCATCCTGGAGGTGAGTTGGCTAGCCTCTGTTTTGTTTTAGATTTATGAGCGAAAGAAATAGGCCAGGGGGCCCACACCCTGTCCAGGAGACAGGGGGGCGCCCCCCCTGTAGGGCGCGGCCTCCTATCTTCTGGGCCCCCTGGTGGGCCTCCGGCGTCCATCTTCTGCTATATCATCACTTTTACCTTGGAAAAAATCGGGGGCAAGCTTATGGGACGAAACTCCGCCGCCACGAGGCGGAACCTTGGCGGAATCAATCTAGGGCTCTAGCGGAGCAGTTCTGCCGAGGACACTTCCCTCCGGGAGGGGGAAATCATCACCAACGTCATCACCAACGATCCTCTCATCGAGAGGGGGTCAATCTCCATCAACATCTTCACCAACACCATCTCCTCTCAAAACCCTAGTTCATCTGTTGTATCCAATCTTGTATCAAAACTACAAATTGGTACCTGTGGGTTGCTAGTAGTGTTGATTACTCCTTGTAGTTGATACTAATTGGTTTACTTGGTGGAAGATCATATGTTCAGATCCTTTATGCATATTATTACTCCTCTGATCATGAACATGAATATGCTTTGTGAGTAGTTATGTTTGTTCCTGAGGACATGGGTGAAGTCTTGCTATTAGTAGTCATGTGAATTTGGTATTCATTCGATATTTTAATGAGATGTATGTTGTCTTTTCCTCTAGTGGTGTTATGTGAATGTCGACTACATGACACTTCATCATTATTTGGTCCTAGAGGAAGGCATGGGGAAGTAATAAGTAGATGATGGGTTGCTAGAGTGACAGAAGCTTAAACCCTAGTTTATGTGTTGCTTCGTTAGGGGTTGATATGGATCCATATGCTTAATGTTGTGGTTAGGTTTACCTTAATACCTTCTTTTGTAGTTGTGGATGCTTGCAATAGGGGTTAATCATAAGTGGGATGCCTGTCCAAGTTAGGGAAGTACCCAAGTACCGGTCCATCCACATACCAAATTATCAAAGTACTGAACGCGAATCATATGAACGTGATGAAAACTAGCTTGACGATAATTCCCAATGTGTCCTCGGGAGCTCCTTCTTCATTATTAGAATTCGTCCAGGCTTATCCTTTGCTACCTAAAGGATTGGGCCACCTTGCTGCACTTTATTTACTTTATTTACTTTTTGCTCGTTACTATTTATCTTATCACAAAACTATCTATCACCTACTATTTCAGTGCTTGCAGAGAAAACCTTATCGAAAACCGCTTATCATTTCCTTCTGCTCCTCATTGGGTTTGACACTCTTAATTATTGAAAGGACTATGATAGATCCCCTATACTTGTGGGTCATCAAGACTCTTTTCTGGCGCCGTTGCCGGGAAGTGTAGCGCTTTTGGTGACTGGAACTTGGTAAGGAAACATTTATATAGTGTGCTGAAATTTTCTATTACTTGTCACTATGGAAACTAATCCTTTGAGGGGCTTGTTTGGGGTATCTTCACTCCAACCATAAGAGCAAAGAGATGCTCCTCAACCTACTGAACTTTATGAAAATATTCACTTTGAGATTCCTTCGGGTGTGATAGAAAAACTGCTAGCTAATCCTTTTGCAGGAGACGGAACATTGCATCCCGACTTACACCTTATCTTTGTGGATGAAGTTTGTGGATTATTTAAGCTTGCAGGTATTCCCAATGATGTTGTCAAAAGGAAGGTCTTCCCTTTATCTTTGAAGGGAGATGCAATGACATGGTACAGGCTATGTGATGATACGAGATTTTGGAATTATAAGCGATTAAAGTTGGAATTGCACCAGAAGTTCTATCCTATGAATCTTGTTCATCATGATCGTAATTACATATATAATTTCTGGCCTCGCGAAGGAGAAAGCATCGCTCAAGCTTGGGGGAGGCTTAAGTCAATGTTGTATTCATGCCCCAATCATGAGCTCTCTCGGGAAATGATTATTCAGAATTTTTATGCTCGGCTTTCTCTTGATAATCGCAACCTGCTCGATACTTCCTGTGCTGGTTCTTATATGTTGAAGACTATTGATTTCAAACGGGACTTATTGGAAAGAATTAAACACAACTCTGAAGATTAGGGTTCCAACGATGGTAAGGAGTCAGGTATGACACCTAAATTCGATTGTGTTAAATCTTTTATGGATACCGATGCTTTTCGTGGATTTAGCTCTAAGTATGGACTTGACTCTAAGATGGTAGCCACTTTTTGTGAAACTTTTGCTACTCACGTTGATCTCCCTAAAGAGAAGTGGCTTAAATATAATCCTCCTGTTGAAGTAAAAGTAGTTGCACCTATTACAGTCGAAGAAAAGACTATTACATATAGTGATCCTATTATTCCTACTGCTTATGTCGAAAAACCTCCCTTTCCTGTTAGGATAAAAGATCATGCTAAAGCTTTGACTTTTGTTCGTAAGAGTAATACTAGGACCTATACACCTCCTGAGCAAATTAATGTTGAACCTGGTATTGCTATGATTAAAGATCTCTTGGATGAGGACTTAGATGGGCATGTTATCTCTTTCTTGGGTGAAACTGCTAATATTGCTAGACCCGATACTAAGACACGTAGGTCTGTTGTAGGCACGCCTGTTATTTCTGTTAAAATAGGAGATCATTGTTATCATGGCTTATGTGATATGGGTGCTAGTGCTAGTGCGATACCTTATGATCTTTATAAAGAAATTATGCACGATATTGCACCTGTTGAATTAGAAGACATTGATGTTACTATTAAGCTTGCTAATAGGGACACCATTAAACCTATTGGGATTGTTAGAGATGTTGAAGTCTTGTGTGGGAAGATTAAATACCCTGCTGATTTTCTTGTTCTTGCTTCCCCACAAGATGATTTTTGTCCCATTATTTTTGGTAGACCCTTCTTAAATACTGCTAGTGCTAAGATTAATTGTGAAAGGAAGGTCATCACTGTTGGCATAGATGGTATGTATCTTGAGTTCAATTTTGCTAAGTTTAGTAGACAACCTTGTGAAAGGGAACCACCTAGTAAGGATGAAATTATTGGTCTTGCTTCCATTGCTGTTCCTCCAACTAATTCGTTAGAACAATATTTGTTAGACCATGAAAACGATATGTTCATGAAGGGAAGGGAAGAAATAGATGAAGTGTTCCTTAAACAAGAACCTATGCTGAAACATAACCTTCCCGTTGAAATTCTTGGGGATCCCCCTCCACCCAAGGGTGATCCCGTGTTTGAACTCAAACCCTTACCTGATAATCTTAAGTATGCTTATCTTGATGAAAAAGAAATATATACTGTTATTATTAGTGCTAACCTTTCAGAGAAAGAAGAAGAAAGATTATTGAAAACTCTGAAGAAGCACAGAGCTGCTATTGGATATACTCTGGATGATCTTAAGGGCATTAGTCCCACATTATGTCAACACAAAATTTCAGTGGAGAAAGATGCCAAATCAGTTAGAGATCCTCAAAGACGATTAAATCCCAAGATGAAGGAAGTGGTAAGAAAGGAGATATTAAAGCTCCTTGAGGCAGGTATCATTTATCCCGTTGCTGATAGTGAATGGGTAAGCCCTGTCCATTGTGTCCCTAAAAAGGGAGGTATTACCGTTGTTCCTAATGATAAAGATGAATTGATCTCGCAAAGAATTATTACAGGTTATAGGATGGTAATTGATTTCCGTAAGTTAAATAAAGCCACTAAGAAAGATCATTACCCTTTACCTTTTATTGATAAAATGCTAGAAAGGCTGTCCAAACACACACATTTTTGCTTTCTAGATGGTTATTCTGGCTTCTCTCAAATACATGTGTCAGCGAAGGATCAATCTAAAACTACTTTTACTTGCCCTTTTGGTACTTTTGCTTATAGACGTATGCCTTTTGGTTTATGTAATGCACCTGCTACCTTTCAAAGATGCATGATGGCTATATTTTCTGATTTTTTGTGAAAAGATTTGTGAGGTATTCATGGATGACTTCTCCGTCTATGGATCCTCTTTTGATGATTGTTTGAGCAACCTTGCTCGAGTTTTGCAGAGATGTGAAGACACTAGTCTCGTCTTGAATTGGGAAAAGTGTCACTTTATGGTTAATGAAGGCATTGTCTTGGGGCACAAGATCTCTGAGAGAGGTATTGAAGTTGATAAAGCCAAAGTTGATGCTATTGAAAAGATGCCATGTCCCAAGGACATAAAAGGTATAAGAAGTTTCCTTGGTCATGCCGGCTTTTATAGGAGGTTCATTAAGGACTTTTCTAAAATCTCTAGGCCTCTGACTAATTTATTGCAAAAAGATATTCCTTTTGTCTTTGATGATGATTGTGTAGAAGCATTTGAAACACTTAAGAAAGCTTTGATCACTGCACCTATTGTTCATCCACGTGATTGGAATTTACCTTCTGAAATTATGTGCGATGCTAGTGATTATGCTGTAGGTGCTGTTTTAGGGCAAATAGTTGATAAGAAATTGAATGTTATCCAGTATGCTAGTAAGGCTCTTGATACTACCCAGAGAAATTATGCTACTACTGAAAAAGAGTTCTTAGCAGTTGTGTTTGCATGTGATAAGT